ATTTGTTCACATCCTTTTCCATCCTGCTGCCTTTGCTACACCCCTTCCCTCACTTCCAGTTCCTCCTTTTTGCACCTCTGCACTACAGACCCATTCATTAACACGTCTATGCCGTCTTCAAAACGCCCACCTGATGTGCATCTCAGTGCATTCGTATCCTTTTTGCCCACGCAACTGGAAGGGAAGAGAAGGCAGGAAAGGAGTAGGGGGAGGGAGTGACTGTTAAGCCTAAGGAAGAGGTGCTAATCTTCCTGATGTTTTGTTTTATTGTCTTTGCCTTCCAACATTATCTGTCATTTCCAAAAATGTGTATTTTTTTGCAAGTGGTTGAATTGGATTTTGCAATGAATGATTAGGCCTGCGTTTTATAGGCTTTCCGGGAAAAGTATGATACTTTGGAATGTAAATTTGAAGAAATGAATAGCTTGACTCCTTTAAGTCCAAATATTTCCCGGTATAGTGAATTTGCTTAAATTTAGATTAACAAATCCCCTTTTTTTCTTTTCCAAATACTAGAGTTCAGTGGTCGATTTTGTTACCTAAGATTTTGGAAACTGCCCTTAAAAACAGAAAATAAAGTAATCAAACTTCCTTCTTTTTTAATTTTACATATCCTCCCTTTGCTTTACATCATTTATTTCACATTGAGACAAAATAAGCAGTACTGAATGAAAACAACTGTATTTTTATTAAGACAAAATATCTGTTGTTCGAATTCGAAAACCCTCTTGCCCCCTCTTTTTTCTTAAGTGGGGAATAATTACTGTGCTTAAATGTGTGAATTTTGTTTTAATCGCCTTGGACGCTGCCTCTAGTTGAATGAAGACTTGTTTAATTAAAAATGACATAATTTTAGGTGTCAGGGTGTGTAGTAAAAACTCATCAACAAATACCCGATTTGAAAGAGGTTTGAGCGTAGAGCTCTGATGCCTGTTTAATACTAAAGATCTTAAACGATATTTTATTGTCACGATACCCCGCTGAAATACGCCTGTGCTTGTCAATGGTCAGAAACCGATTGACATTTGTAGCTGAAGTAGGACCACTTTCATTTAATCGAAAAAAATGTTCTACTTTGTAAGAAATTAAAACATAAAGGTTCTTGACTGTTCAAAATAGTACGATATGAAATTTTGTAGCGGGGAACTAATGTCTTCTGTGTTGTGACATTCTCCCTCTAATCTTGCCCAGACACTGATAAGAATGACAGCAAAGAGAATGAAGGAGTATCTCTATTTTTCTTCATGGGTCGTAGATGAAAAACTTTGATAGCATGCTTCTTCTGCGAATCAAACCATTGATACAAGACTTTTTTTGGACGACCCAGAGCTTATCCACTCAATTATCCTGTTGATACAATAAAAATGTAGATGAAAATATAATTTTTTGGTTATAAATTGGCCACTGGAAATACTTGTAGGGGTCGCAGAATAACTATCTTATCAAACGGGTCACAAAATCTGAAATCTAATCAAATTAAGTTTACAAAAAATGTAATGTTTCGGAGACCAAGGCGGAGGTGTTGCGATTTTAAACATTTGCATAAATGTATGCAATTGGATGCAGTGAGTACAAAGATGGACTTCCTCTCGTCAGCCACTTTTGACCTGTCGTAAGCATTGCACCTGCTCATTAATCCGGTTAAAAAATCCAACAATCCGACAAAATTTGTAGATGGGTAGCAAATGGAGGCATGAATTTGCCATCTTAGTGCCTACAATTTGGGCTTATGCATTCCAGTTTTATTGGTGTCTAGACACTGGCGTGGAGGGAGAGGCTTATCAAAAGCAATCACGCAGCATAAATGCCCCTCTATGTGTAATCCAAAAAGGAACACATAAAAGCGTCGACCTGTTTCGTCAAAAAATATTCATTTACTTAAACATGGACATTTGATAAGCAGAATAGAATCTGTAGGATCTGCATCCTACACCACCATTTGATTAAGCTTTAGAAGACAACTTTTGATTAAATAATGAATATTACTCTAAACGTGACACATCCGAAGTGGAAAATTCAGAAATACTTCCTTAAATGTACCTACCGGTGCAATGATGGTCAAAATGAATTGTTCCAAGTAATGGCTAATTAGGATTAGTCGTAGATATTACTTATTTCCAAGCATTTTTCCCTACACGTCAAGCATAACTTTTATCAGCAATTTTAAAATGAAGACATAAACTAACAGAAATTTTAAACCTATTTTAAGCTTTTCGTGGCATTAGACTCCATGACTACTTTCTTATGCTAAAGCGACTTCGATAGCTTTTTTGGTTTAACAAAAACCCCACCTATTTTATTTCTTGTACTTTCGTCAAAGGTGCTTACTTACATGTTACCTTGACTGATGAAACTTACACGGGCAAGTTTGGATGAGTACATTCATTCATATATGCTTTAAACTATTTTTTGGAAAACTGGTGGCTGGGAAAGTGAAACATCAAATGAAGTACTCCACTCGGAGATCCCTAAGTCATTAGTGTATCGAGATTGGATTCACCCTCCAGTGGGTATTCATGAAACATTTTCCCCATAAATTTTACGCAATTTGGAAGCACTAATGTATGGTGATAGTAATCATGGCTTTATTTTATGAAATGTAGCATTATAAAGCAGTAGAAATACTCAACTTCTATACCATTTTAGTGAAAATCCAGCTAATAAAAATGGTTGTTATTTAGACTGATACAACCATACCCCCATCCAGAGAGGAGTGCAATGTATCAACAGACCGAAACCCTACCTGCAGTATTCATTCTGGTCCGCTGTATGAACCTTTGTTAACTTTTGGGAACGTCAGTCATCGAAACTTGCCCGCAACTGAGAAGGTATTTGACTACAACATCACTGAGCCCTTTAGGCAATTCTATTAGATATAAGGTTTCACCTTATTTGGAAACTATATTATGGAAGAGAAAATGCTCAGGCCATCTTGTATGTCCGTTGCAGGTAGCAAGAACACTGGCCTGAAAGTAGAATCACTTAATAGTGAACGTATTTTTAAATAATTTTGTAGGAATGAAGTTTCACATCTATTCTTATTCGCCGCCTTGTTCCCACTTCAACGCTGCCCAGCCACGTCTTTCCGGATTCCATCCGTCTAGTAGAGAGGTGAAGGAGGTGTAGCGCGTTCACTCAATTGACATTTTTGTATAAGCGCGGTGGACGGCTACGTAACAAGTTTTCAAGATGGTTTACAGCCGCAGCTGGAGTCGCTTCCTCCAGTTATTAATGGCATTTCTGCAGAACACGTAAAAGTGGTAGTTGGCAAAGGTAGACGTCATTTTCGTCCCTTTCACCAGGGCTCGTCGTGGATTCTCCCTTTGGGATCATAGACCCTACTTTCGTCCCGTTAAGGTATAGCTTTCAGCAATAGAAGTTAGGGTGGTTATCCATAAGGACCGGTTTTCCTTTCTGCTTTCATCAATATAGCGCTTTGAGTCTCCTCTGAATTCGAAAGAAGTCATTATGTTCGTTATGAAAGTGTATTATAGACATCCAGAAGGGCTGGAGGGACTGCTGACATGGCCTGGAACTATGCAAATTAGAGGAATTACGATAATAGACTCTTAAGTGTCTGCGTAGTTAAATCGAAGGGGAAAACAAACAAAGTAATACGTAAGAGTTGTAAAACACATGATGATGTGTCCGTCTGCCATTTCAGTACCCTCGTGTCATCAAATGTTACTTGGATCCGATGAGAGGTATTTAAATTTGTCTGGTGTACAAGACGACTTAACTTGGTTTCATAAGTAAAGCAAAAGCTATCCTTTAGTCAAATTTGTTGCAAGGCTGAACAACGTACAGCCTAAATCCAAATGGTTTGAATAAATGGTGCGATGAGGTGGAAGCGGAAATGTCATGAGCTTAGTTTTTTGCTTTTGGAGGCAAAACATTTGAATGGGGTAGAATCCTCAGGTGTAGTAATACTGTTGGTACCGATGGTCATTTGGCAAAAATGAGGCAATATGTTGATCATTTAAAATACCGCTTATCCATCAGAGGTAGACGTGCTTAACTTACTTGAAAGTTAGGATAAATAATAAAGCTCCCTTTACTAGAAAAGAATTGCTTGGACGACATGCTAATAACCTTTCACTCACAATCTCACTCAATCAAGAGGATATGTATTATTAACGTCTTTCAGCAAGCTAACTGGCAACTTTAAATGCTGCTCAGTCTTAGCATCGGACAAATTTTATTATTTGCAGCGGGTGATAAAATCACTCCAAAGACTTCCACTTAACCACGGCATAGCGAAAGGCGAGCTCATTCACTTCGCCTGAAATGGCATTTTGAGTTTAAATGGGTCCAGAGGGTGAAACATACAGGCCACACCAATCGGGCACCCATTTCTGCCACATAGACATAGAGACCGAGGAACGGTGCTACAAAACTGTCCAGTCTTAACCCATATCAGGGAGGTTTCCTTTTTATGGGGTAAAATATACTGAATTTGACAGTTGAATAGGCGACAATTCTCTCGAATTAAACTCCAGTGAGCGCTTTATGTGCTTCATAAAATAAATATTGCCTCATTAAAAGCATGCATCGAAAGAAAAGGAAATATACTCTTACAGCATTAAACCAGTACCAGTTCGGATGTGCACCTCATCAGACATGGTTGATGAAATTGTTTAAAGTAGTATCAGCATGCGATTAAAATAATTAGTTCAGGTTAATTAAGAGAGGTAATCACAAAACTTGCCAAATAAAAGACGTCCTCCTCCAACCAGTCTGCTCATTCCGAGGGTATGAAAACAGCCATGGAAGAGAAACGCTAAAATATGTTAGCTGGAGGCATGGCAGGTAGACCATTACCCTTTAAAACCGAAATAGTCTTTGAATAGTAGCTTGAAAACGATGAATGTAACCCCTGATTTTAACACAACGTCGGAGGTCACCGCAGATCCTACGCGTCCTGCCTTAAAACTTATTCCCCATCATCTTTAAGGTCGGGATATTCGGGGACCACTATAGTTGATCCGAAATAACGAATGCTAGTCGGAGAGTTCTTCCATCATAACCAAAAGGTAGGAGAGGATGTGAGGCGCATGTGAAGAACCTGCAACAGTCGGCAGAAAGAGCTTAAGGTGGTTTACCTCGAACCAGAGTTGAGGGATAGATGACCTTCCGGTTTGGGCACGGAATTCGTCCATATAGTACGGATTGGAAGCTCCGCAGCACAGATACCAACTCCCTTAGCAGGTTGGTAAAGGTCACAGTGAAGGGGTTCCAGGAGTTGATTCTGTCCCTGCCCTACAACAACCGCAAAGGTCGACTAAACTCAAACTTCTTATACCAAGTATCCTGGCGTAACACCCCAAAGTTAGATTAGCCCCATTTTTTTCTATTTCACCTGCTTCCAAATGGTCCTCATTTATTCCACCTTATCACCGTCTAACAGATTAAGACTAGCAAAAGAAAATTAATGATAGCAAAAGGGGATATGCCTTTACTAGGCAACATAAACTAGGAAACCTGGGTAGTGAAGTTTTCATGTACAGAATTGTCTTAGCACGTGATTCTTATGGGGAATTTTCTACGTAGTACTAAAGCCCTCCTGAATTTTGTGGAATCCAAGTTCTCCACCAACCATGAAGGCAAAGTCGTGAAAGCTCTGTTGTCACTGAACGAAAGTGCCGATCATATTTCCAGTATGGTAGTAATCTCTGCGAACAACTTAGTCGACATCTGCGCACAGCTTAACCATGTTACCGGCAATGGGAGGGAAGAAGTTTGGGAGTTACTGGTTATGTAGGCATATGTATTCTCATGGAAAGGCATTAAGTTGGGAAAAACAAGAATAGGAGCTAATAGACCGATCTGATTGCAGCCCAGAAGCACAACTCCTCTGATAGAAGCAAATCATCATGCCGAAGAGATGGTCGAAGACGTGGTCATTAAATCATCAAATCCAGCATGGACCTCATTGACTACCAATGTAAAAAAAAGGAAGTTTTTGCAAACTAAATTTTGTAACAAAGTAGGATGTCTTTTAAAGACTCCACGTAAACGATTCGTTAAACTCCCTAAACGGGTCAAAGTAGTTCACCACCCTAAACTCAAAATCGGAACACTGGCAAGTAGAGGTGTCAGAAAGAGACAAAGAGAAAAAGACTTTCATACTGCCAAACAAGTTTTATGAATCCAAATAATGTCTTTTGGACTCTGCAATGTAGCAGCCACTTTTCAACACTTATTGCTAACCTCACTAATCAGACTATTTCCGAAACATTGTGTAATATACTTAGATGACATTCCTGTCTTCGATAAGCTAGCCGCTGGCTGTAATCGGACCGTCTACGAGAAGCAGGTTTGGCCCTCAAGCCAAAGGAGTGGCGGTTACTTTGACTCTGTTAACTTCTTGGTACATACTTCGTCATCAGATATGATGGTGAAAACTGAAGACAGCACAAAGGAAGTGGGGACCCGTCTAACACCAACCAATCGGACGAAGCTTAGTAGTCTTCTAGGCTTTGCAGGTCCCTATGGGCATTTTGTTAAAGATTTTGTCCAGGTCGCAAACCTGCTACGCAAATTGTTGAATAAAGCAGGCGAAAAAACAATTTCAAATGGGCAAAAGAGCACGGTGAACGAATCGGAGAGAATGGTTTATTCAACATCCCACTGGAACACTTACGCCTGTCATATGTCAGGCAGAAGAGGTATTATGACAAGAACAGCCAGCCTAACGTCTACGAAGAAAAGATATAATACAGTTATATAGGTCTGCCTCTCCATCTGGAGTGCATGGCAAATTCCATTATCCCTGGAACATGGATGCATTCCAAATGATGGAGGTCATCATACAAACAGACTAGCTGGTCTCCAATACACAACCCCACACTCAACCAATCGTCGTTCATCACGACAAGATGTGTCCGTGCAAGGGTACATTTCCGGATGGATACGAGAACGAAGCCTACATTACTAACGGAAGGGAGAAGATCACCGGAAGTAACATATGTGGACGCCATTGATAAGGGAAGCACTCGGGACGGTGCTGTAAAAGGCGTGAAGCCCTCAGTATGCGCCAACCTCGTTACTAAGCTCTAAATTTTCCATAAACCCGATTTCCTGTACACATTTGCAACGCTTATCAGATAAAAGATTCCTCCTTTAACTAATCTGCTAGTTCCAGGGTCGTGAAAGTAGAGGTGGAAGAGAAGAACGCTGAACCCGTTCCACGATGTTTCCAACATGCCCGTTACTGCTTAGTACATGTTTTGGCATTCGATGAAAAATATGTAATTACTCCTTTTGATCGTACATTTACGACATTTTATGCTTCGACGTAAACAAAACAATGGAAGAGTTAAGTTACTTTCTACCTATCAAATAACAATGATTTATGGCTCTACGTTTATCCATCGTGACTGTGCTGAAGCAATAAATCAGGTTTAAAAGCTGCCTCCTGATTTTGGTGAAAATTATACAAATCAGCATGGATTTGGTGGTCTTTGAAGGAGAATTTTATGGTTCACTCTGAGCTCTACAGAACACTTTTAATTAAGTTCTATTTATTAAAAGGGACTATCGGGACGTTCAACCTAATAAAAGCCCCACCTTTTTCCACACAGATTTATTTCCATGCCTCTCCAAAGGCTAACTTAATACGGTTTTAAAAAATGAAAAGTTATTAAATGCATTTCTATATTTGTATTTGATGTTGGTTTTAAAATACGGAACTTTATTGGTTAGCTGTTGTACTAAATATTTGTCCTTTTTGGCTCTTCTTGGTTAACTTATTTTGGGTGAATTTTTTCGCCTGGGTTTTATTTATTTAAAGCGCATCATCATAGGCGTAGTACCTTATTTGTTTAATTCTTCGTGTTGTCTTTGCAGGCTAAAGAGTCTCTGTCCTTGCACTTCTGCCGGACGGACGGCATGACCTGAGGGTCATGCCAGCAGATCCCCTTCCAGGCTTCTGTACATCGACAATACATTCCCTCCCCTATTATTATGCCTATGTCCGTCCTAGGAAGGAAGCAGCGAGCTACACTGCTGGCAGCAGAAAACGGATCCTATCCTAAAGGGCATCTGTCTTAATTTCTTTTACGGAATGTTTAACCTCAACTCGACGGAGGGAAGGCAAATGCTGGGCGTGGGAGAATCTGTGACAGACCCTCAGCAGAAGGGCTGAAGATATCGTCTACACAGGACCCATGTTCTGTAGGAGTACTATTAACGACTATAGCGACGCTATGGAGCTGTCTACAATACCTGTATCAATGTCAATGAAGTGAACACGCGATACTTCCACCACTGGATAGAACTCAGATATGCATGGGGTTGGCAATACTGAGATGAGAATGAAGTCGCAGGGATGAACAGAATCAAAACCGTATCTCCATCAAACTATTTAAGGTCCTGTCCTTTAGTAAAAGACTTTGCTTTTAGTCAGTGCTCTTACCACTAACGATGGACATAGTTACCAAACAGGATGAAAATCCATATCCAGTGGAATTGCCGAAAGGGATCAGCGGCTTTGCAACGAAATATCTTCTGATTTGTCCACGTTGATTGATGGGTGATTTTCAGACAGTCGATGGGGGAGGTTGGCCAGGGGGATGGCTGGGGACGACGTGTAAATAACGAGAGGGGCTGTGTAGTACTTTGATTGGTTGTTTAACTCTTCTTTTTGTTCTGGCCGGCACCTAATCCTCCGTCTGCTCCGCCGTCGAGTGACCCGGCCTCCAGACCATGCCAGTAGCCCCCCGGCGCTCCCCTACTCCGTCAACACACATTCTGACCTAGCTTCATGACTCGGCTTGGGGTGCTGCATTAAGTGTAAATAAAGTGAAGATGATATCTTTCGTGGAAAGGTTGCTCAAAAGTACTTTATTATTTATTTTATGTACATGGTCTTGCACAGGGACCAACAGGTGACGTTTAGGTCAAAACCAAGCTTTAAGAGATACTGAAAAAGAGAGGCCACCTTAACATTAGCTATAAAGCCCGACCCCTTGCTAATAATCGTCACCCATCGTAGATGAACCGCCCTAGAAACTATTAATTAAGATTTCAGGCGACAGAGATAGAACATGTATAAAATAACAACAAGTGCCAAATTTGAAGACATCTTTCCGTACAGAAGACCTCAAGTGTTTATCGGGAGCCCAGCCGCCAAGCATTACTATAGGAGGAGGATCGTAGGTCTCTTCCCTGGCCCACATACTCTTAGAACACCCGGGTTGATTCAACTTCGACATATTTATTGGGATACATGAATGGGGGAAGCAAGTACAACTTTACGGGGTTGTGGACACGGAACCTCCCTCCGGGTTGGTGGACATTGACTCCTCGATCACGAAGTTTAATTCGTATGCACGCCTTCTCTCTGTAAGGAGCATTAAAACAACATAGGGTATTACAGTGCTATATGTGAGTGGTGCAAACGTTCCAAAGACGCGCGTACTTTTGTCAGTGAAGACCTTTGGTGTAGTGGTTCTCAGCCCACAGTGATTATTTCTACGATCTTTCATTCAATGCATGAAAAGCCTGATCTTGGACATCTAAGCGACGGGCATGAAAGGATGCAAGAGTCCAACTTTCCCGTGGAATTATCAAACGTAAACACTCGCGATAACTTGCACTTTTGGCGAGTTAAACGCTAGAATGAGTGATTTTGTGCAGCAAAGTGATATGTCAAATTTCATGTATAATTTTCACATTTAGCATTTTGACTAAAATGAACTAAACGCTTGCATTTTACTTGAAGATCCCATAAACTCTTCTGCTTTTACTCCCCCAAAACTTCGCATTTCAACCATATTGCACAAATTAGGTGCTTCTCTTCGTCTGCGAATCTATTCTACAAGGTACCTAGTCGTTTATGAGCAACACCGTAGGCTTGCTGTTTTTCCTCTGTCACACCAGCAATGGTTCTTGCATATTTGGCCGTAAGAACGTCCTTTCGCAAGTCGTCTTAGCGTCCACGATTTAATCACATCACTTTCAATCTTCAGGTACCCCTTATTCCTGCTATGCTGGCCTGGAAGTACAGTTCGTGGTATACTTCACACCACAACCATGAGTGCTAAAACTGAAGGAACTTCTGTATTAACTTAACAACCATTAATCCCCAAGGGAACGCCCAACCAGTTACATTTAGTATGTGTGAAAAGTTTCAAATTGTGTGGACGGAGGCAGAAAGTCCCTTTTTCCGAGCGTCAAAATGGGGAATTTGATTGGCTAATTTGCAAAATTTTAGGTGATTTTTAGCAGTCTAACTTTTGTGAAATCCCGTAATATTCACAGTATTGTGAGGCCTTGCAATCAACTGTCACTGTGGTGAAAAAAACTGTCACATCAAATGGCACATATTTGAAACGCGCTACCCATAAGCGAACATCCTCTAAAAAAACACAAAAATGTCTCAAATAAACACTCTTTGGTGTTCCCGCTTTGCTGACAAATTTGAAAGAAAACTATGCTTACGAGCTCTTTACAACGTAACACGATTTAATGAACGAGATGGGGTAATTGGGATTCCCAGAAGTGGGTCTTCGAGGTTCATTTTCTGGAGTCACAGAGAATATTCCCCATTAATTTTTACTGACAATGAGACAACTGCGCCATTCGGGCCTGTTTGAAATCAACATCTTTCCTAAAAAACTGGCCAAGTAGTGAGGAAACGCGTACATTAATCTCTAGTCGCCTCTTTATAAATAGACGAACTACGAAATTATTCTGCAGTAGACTTGGTTGCACGCGAGAGAATGGAGAATGTGTGCTGATGTAGGACTATTTATGTCGCAGATTTTAGTAAGTGAATCTGATTTCTTCAATGTCAGTCAGTCAATCCGCTTTGCTGGCTTACTGACATGCTTGCTTGCCTGTCTAATCACCTCATTTTGGGGCGCCAGCGAAATATTACAATTACTTTATTCCTTCTTTTTGTAGTACAATTTTAAATATTATGGTTTGAATAGAATATCTGATATAAAAAGAACACTTAAAACAGTATTTTGGTGCAATTAAGTTTCATTAAAGTCGTTTTACAAACATTCGGTCTACTTTCTTAATGCATGAGCAGTATTTAAGGCACTTAAAATTTTGTTTCAAGAATGTTATCAACTTTGTATATAAAGAACGCGAAATTGGCCAGGAATTTTATTAGATACCCTATTCTTATTCGTTTAGACGTACCTGGCGGCCTTAAGGGGTTAACGCGCCTGTTTTGGTCTTCAAGAAGGAAAGAAAATTGGTAATAATCATAAAGGTAAAGGCGTTCTAAGATAAGGCTTGGAAATCTAGTTGCTTAAAACTCAGTTGTAAAAAGTGAAAAATTCTGTTTCATCAGGTTCTCAATTAAGTAGTTGTAAATTTCAACAGTACTCAGTTAATTTGTCGATTGATGAATGACCACATGTCCACTGGTTAAGAGTGATTGTTGTGTTCAGCTGCCCTCAGCGTATATCAGTATTTCTCTGTAAACTCATTTGTTTTCGCTCCCAATTTTACCAAAATGATATACCCGACACAATCTCTATGGGCTTTAATATTTTTAAACAAATAAATCTCCTCCCTAAGTTAGAAATGATGCAGAGTTCCGAGACTTCCTTAGAGACGAAAAGGGCATTATGCTTAAGCTCCGTATGTATTATCAACATACAGATGGGCTTGGAGGCTACCAGCACGGTCCGGAGGCCAGGTCGTCCTGAGGATGTACAACGGCAAAACCCCTGAGTGGCGCGTTACCGAAGCCGAGGGCTAAACAAACAATTTAAGTATTGCAGTTAATCCTTTTCATACCTAATACAATCAAGGATCCTGTCTCTCGATCTCCATGCAATCTTCTTTTTGATCCATCTCCCAAGCGAAGCAGCATCGCGTTTTAATCTCCTAATTACGGTCTATTTTCTGTCAAACATTAGCGTTTAAATCCTAGTTGCGCAAACTTTTACAACTTGGATTAAACACATGTAATGGGGACCTCCGCACTCTACTCGAATGTGGAATGGAGCAAACAGGGCTAAAGGAAACTTTGTTTCAACCCTACTGAGAGGTTGAGAAAGTCTGGAGATGTGGCTGAAAGACAATGCCAGTAAGGTAGTGCTTATGACGTCTGCAATTGAGGAGTTCGCTTAGTTGAACGCATCATTAAAACAAACTTACATTGGATGAGAGAAATAAATGTCACGTCTTCTTTTAGGTTTACCTGTTCATGGAAGACAGACCTACTAATGATGACTCATATGTCAGAATCTCGGTGCATAAAGGATGTGAATGGATTCCTCAAATGGCAACCAAGCCGACCCTTTTAGCTGCTCATCAAAAAGTTTAGGCGAAAGCACGTCGGAATCCACCATCTCAACTATAGCGAGTGTCACTAACTTCAAAGACACTTTGCCTTCACAGGAAGCAGTCCTATAAACCGATAACAAGCTTATCCGATTTCTGCTGAGGGAGGCTAGAGAAGGTAAACCAAAAGTTGAGTGCTACTAGTAACGCCATTACTGCATCGAAAACGGCCTCCTGAAAAATTGTGCACAAGCCAAAACTCAGGCAAGTTTCCCTGCTGTCCCATAGCTTATCCCGATGACCTATCTTCCACATTTTTATCCCAAATGATGAGTAATTTTAATATTCAAGTTATGAGTCCCTTTTCTTTAATATTTGTATCCTAGAAGAAATTGAAAAATGGCGAAGTGCTGTACTATTCTTATATGCTACCACTTTTATATCCTAGCCTTATTTCCAGGCCAGAATACGGCTTCGAGAGCCAATTTGTTGTGACGCTAAGGTGAAGTTACGGTACGAAACTTGATAGCGTTTTCTTTTCGTAAAATGTAAGTTTTTAGCCCAATTAGTACACACTTTGCTTGGCAACTTTGTCATCAGTCTTAGTCGAGAAGCTGTCTAATGTCACAACTGAATCAAAAGTTTCTTTGAAATCCGCGAAATAGCAACTTTACTACTCTAAACATTTGCTTTGAAAATATACAAATGGTTAGAAGGAATAAAAATGGTCCTACCCAAAATCGTAGAGCCATTAAAACTAACTTCACTAACGATATGCGCACTTGGCCGGCCAGTGAAGAAGTTTGGTAGCCATTTGTATACAAGACAGAGGGTAACAGCTCACGACATGACTACTCCTTGTTATTTACGTGGCAGATCATTTGACATCTGTAATATACTGATCAGACACTAACGGCAGGCAAATTGAATATTACCAGCAACAACTAGTCGGTCTTATTATAGAAAGTAATTAGTTATTTTAATGTAAACTGAGATAAGGAGATTTGAGGGCTGAATAATTTTCCATTTGCGGTCAAGTGTTTGGCCATCATCGATTGGATGAGTCGCTCTTCAAGGTCAGTTTGGGGCGGATGCAAGTGAAATGCAACCATTTTCCCATGATTTTAATAATTACTCTCTGCACTTTTATTTTAATTTGGGTACGGAAAAGTAGTTAAATATGGTAAACGAAAATGGTTTTTTAATATTTTTGCCCCAGTTGTTATGTCGGAGTAGGGTCGGGGTTTATCTCCTCCACCAATTGTCTTCATTCCCCTGGAACGAGCAGAGTTGGATGAGAACGTGCTTTATTGGGTGGTAATAATTAAAGAGGTTCAGATGTGGCTGTTAAGCGTGCTTAGGGTACGTTTCCTCCTCCTTGGAAGTCAATGGCGTCCGATCCCTCACGGCGTTTGTATTGAGGTCAATGTTGTGTTTTAAAACCATTCGACCCACATTTTTAAAATTGAGATGACTAACCAAACTATACTTAATTCGACGGAAAGCTTTTAGCGACCAAAGACAAACTGAAGCATAAAAAGTGGGTGGCTAAATGATCACACAGAGGAGACCCATTCGGCGGACCGGTGAGCTAAAACAGAGATTACGATGTAATGGATGGCAGAGGGCTGATTGTGGACTTCTAATCATTTTACATCTCTCCTAGGATAGAATCTTTTCTGATGGTGCGGTGTAGTGGTAGCATCCAGCGTCGAAGTGTACTTTCCTGTTTCAAATTCCAATCGTCCTCGTTGCGCCAGTCCACCCCGACCACGACCAAAAGCATCCTAGAGGGGAGGAAGGGAAAAGTGGGATGGGAAGGGTGGTGGGGGCGAGCGATCAAACAAGCAATAGAGATAAAATCGGTCTTTTTGTTTACACAAATCCCCATTTTGTTTCAAGTGAGCTACGTAGCGAATGCCAATAGCCCAAAAAGGACGGCTGAAAAAGGCCTGCACTCGTAATAATGCAACCTTTGAGAGCCTCATAAATTTATATTTTAAAAAAATTTGCGTAGCACTCAACTGGAACCTAAGCCGGTACATCAAGCTGTGGTGTTCGGACTCGGCTCAGACCTTATTCCGAAAGTCCCATTTTTACCCTTTCTGGCCTTATTCTTTCTCCTTCCTTTAATTATTTTTTATTTTTTAGTTAGAATTCTTAACACTGATTATTCAACATCTCGTTTCGATTTCCCGGACATTGAAAGGCACGGCTATCGTACCTCCACTTAGCAGCATAACCTACGGACCATGTCAGCATCCCCTCTCTTTCCTTCCGTACGTCGACAGAACACTATGAATTCTCCCAATTTCACGAAAGTCTTATGACGATTAACTGATGGTAGCGGACTGCGAACCAGATCGTAAGGGACATATACTGTTATTTCTATCAATGAATAATAATAATAATAAGCGCATATGCTGGGGATCAGGGGATCTGTGACGCCTACCTTTAGCAACCACCCCAGTCTCGTGTTCGACAGGAATGCCAGAAATAACTGAAAGGAGCGACACCAGCCGTGGCCATGAGCCCTGCAGTAAAGCCATTTACAGAGCTGCCTACCGTGCCTGTATGAAGATGAAAATGAAGTAAATACGCTCTTCCTCCTCCACCTCTCTCCTAGCTTAATCGAACCCAGAGAAATAGATAAATATGACTAAGCCACACAAAGTGGGAAGGAGGAATGGATGCGAAACCTAATCCCCACACATTGTTTCAAACTCCATCTTTCGTGAAATGACACTGCGTTAAGGCCAGCGTACTTACAACTAGCGATGGACACACGGGATTACTATCACATTTCTCCTTCTCCCAATGTAGTTGCCAAGCCGGTCGAAGCCCCAGATCCAGTGGAATTGCCAAGAGAAAGCAGTGACTTTGCGTACAGGTATCTACTCAAGTGGATGTAAATAAAATAACTGGCATGGTTGGCTCGTGGGCTTGTTTTTTACAGCACCGACTACATTATGATGTCGGTTGCAAGGGAATAACCAAAGAAAGCGCCGGGGATGACACTCAAAAACGATGATTGGGGCTATGTAACGCTCGGATTATTCGGTTCGACTCTTCGCTTTCGTGTTCCAGGTATTGAAGAGCACAGCCATTCCACTTCCGTCAATCGCCTTCATCTCTGGGCCATTCTAGTAGTTGATTCAAAATCACACAATTAAAGGAAAATTTCATTTTCATACTTTGATTCAGATCTCTGTGAAAAGTGTTTGTATGAGTTTGTGTATACCTCATGACAGAATAGTTGTTTACATAGCCTAAAAACACTGCTGAAATAAGGGGATCTTACTTGGTTTTTGAGTGTGTGTTTAACATTACTCTGGAGTCACATATCTTGCATTGGTATATATTGTCACTCTTCAACATTGCTGCTAAATTATTTTTTGCCTAGCATTTTAATATATTGTTTTATCAACTTAAAATCTGCTTATTCAGAGCTGACTAAGGATATTTCAATGAAGTCAATGAAGCTTGAGGTAAGCATTTGAAAAGTTAAGTGACAAGGTATGTGGCATTCGTCAACTCTTTCATTGAAAGATGGAAAATTTGAGCACAGTAGTTCAAGTTAACCACTTAATTGCAGGTCATCGTATGTCCAGCAACAAAATTTAAATCGGAAAACTAAAGCACAACCGTGACATACTCTTACATTGTTACACTAACTATTCAGTAGATATTTTATTTTGCTCTCGGAAGACAACTACTAAATTCTCTTTAAGCGGCAATATCAGAACCAGGCTAGCGAGGATTCCGTCCCAGAAACATCATGCTCTGCATTTTATGGTCTTCACAGTGCTACTTTTTGTCATGTGACACATCAAGGCTTGTGTGCTAATAAGAGGATGCAGATTCTATGCTCCCCTCGAGTTGGAAGAGATGCTTTTCTTTATTTCCGTGAATTGTAGCCAGTTTTACTAAGAAAAGTACTTGATTTAAGTAATGCACCAGTTGACTCTTGAGGAACAGTTTTGTGCAACCGAATACCATGCAACTAAGGTGGTAGAGACTTTACCTAGCCCGGAATTACCGCATTCTTTGGTTTTTGAGCAGCATACCTCCGGATGAGCACGAACTTCAGGGGCTGCAATGACTGGCCTTCCTCGAAGAAGCAGGTAGAGAAATTTGTGTCAAATCTCTTGAATCTGGGACCATTTACTAACATTTATCTGTTGTCAAAAATTCAGGACTAGTGTTTCAACTCCTCTATGATGGTTATTACATATTGTGGCGGAAAAATATTTAAACATTTTTTAATGGTTTATGGTAGTGTAGGTCAACGACTATTTCATAAAGCCAAACGAATTCCTGATACAAGTATAGAAAGTGTATTGCCGACGTAGGGAAGGGCTAAGGTCCAGCTGAGCCTCAGATGCCCGCGAAAGGAAAATGAAGACTTAAGAAAGTATTAAAAGTACTTCATTAGCCTCAACGCCAAATCCTCTCCTGACAACGTCCAGCGTTAGCCATCACAGATTAGTCACTGTTGTCAGAAAAAAAAAGAAAAAAAACAAACTAATCCAGGCATAGGTTTCGCGTGCTACTGAGAAGATATCTGACTGCCGTGGCACCAGCCCCTATGCGATTCCACTGGATATGGAGTTGCATCCTGTTTGGGAACCATATTGGGGGAAGGGAGAATGGGCATATCATCACGAATATCCATCGCTGGATGTAAGAACATTGGTCCAAAAGCAGAGTCATTCAATAAAAAAGTTTTAAATAGGCTCGTTGGGATAAAGTGTTGTGTCTGCTCCTCCTCGCCACTTTGCTCCTACTTCATTGCTGCCCAGAAATATCTTAATCTATAGGTTCCACCTAGGAGGCATAGCTTGTTCACTTAAATGACATCTTCATGAAGTTACGGTAGTCAGCTCCGTAACGAATTTCGCCAAATGGTTCCCTACCACAGCTAGTGCCTCTTCGGTTGTTAGCAGCATTCCAGCAGAACATTAAACTGCATTAGTTGCTGGAGGCAAACGTCATTTTCAACCCTTCTGTTAGGATTCTTAACAGATTTGCCGATCCGTTGCGTTAAGGTTTAGCATTTATGAAAGGAAATTGTGGTAGTTGTCTACCTTCCGCTGCCACCATTGTGGCGTTCCTAATCTTTCCTGATGATGAATGAACACATAATACCAGGGCAGAAGGGTGGAAGGGGAATCACTGGCATGTATCAAAGAGGTCATACCGTGCAGAGGAAACATAAAGGCGGTGTCCTAAGTGCCCCTTATTAAAATTTTCTGAAACTAAACTCCTTAAAGACTCTTGATAAAGACAGACACTTTGCTTCATTCACCAACGAACGTCCCTTTTGTTATCTCATGATCGCAAAACGCAGTGGCTTCAATTTCTCTACCCCAGTGGAGTATGAGCAGAAGTTCGTCGAATAGGTTTACTTCTACCTATTTTCTTTTGCCTTTAAAGGAAGATGGCCACACTTGATTAGGCGCTTTTATTCGCACTTTATAAACAGATGTCAACTCCCGGTTTGAAATAATATTCGGATGAAATCAGCGCTTACCAGGTTGGGATAAATGCTAAAATAAACACAAGATCTCACAATATCCGTGTAACGTATCATAAATGCTTGCATCTGGTTCATTTCTTGTCCACATCATAAATGAGTAGTGCTTGTCATAAACATCCCTACTTAAATGGTGTTGATGTGAGTAGTATATTCGTCGATGGGATGTCATTTTTTGCTTGGTGTGATCCTGAATCACTTTTAATCTTTTTGCACTCCAGTCAGCATGCCATCGGGTGACCCAGTTTTAATTTCAATAGTATGAACTGGCTTGACTCCATGAAAGACCAATTATTGTGATCCTCTATTGCCATCGGCGCACCGTATCAATACCTGACCATTGGATTTGAAGCATCCAGTTCAGCAAATTTCCATGTTTTATTAGGATTGCGATGTAGGCAAGATAGTTTGCTCTGGGTGCGTGTTTGCCCTTCATGACCCTCATCTTGATGTCAAACCCAGAGTGTGGCAGAACTTATACACATTTGATCATCAAATGGAAAAAGCAATTACATGTGGCTCTTAGAGTGAGGAAATAAATTTTTTCGTTGCTTAAATGTGTTTATTATCCCATTTGAAAAAAAGTACGTGGGAATTTTTATTTAGGAGGTAAACCTTTATGCCCAAATTCAATTTAAGTTAGTCGTTGTCTAGAAGTTGGGAAGCCAAATGTTCCACACAAACAATGTATATTGGAAGAGAATGGCCGAAATTCATGATTTCTCTCCCAATAGGTAGTTTAAATGCAAGTCGTTCCAAGAACACCAGAAATCGAACTTAAATCCGACCTCGTGGCGCTTGGAACGAGGCAATATCGTTTTCATAACTACCGAACTGTACAAGACAATGCTCCAAAAACTTGGAAGTCTCTTTCTTGAAAGTGATTTAGACGATACTGTTTTAATTAGCTTCTGAAGAGATATCCATAGTTTGTTAAGCATGGCCCAGTAGACTGGTAAATATATGTACTGACTCGAGTACTCCCTAAAGACGAAGAATGCCACGATACTAGCTCTGTAGATATGTTGGAAACACGGGGAAGGCCTGAGTGATTACTGACATGACTCTGAGAACGTGCCGCCAAAAGGAAGCATAATGACAAAGCTCTCTGTGCCAGCG